CCCCACGTGGCGAATGGTAAGGATTCGGGTAAAACGACTCAGGGGGGATCAGCCGTGGCTGTAGGAACATCACCGGGCGGGACACACAAGGTGAGCGCTCAGTGTGTGTGGGTGTAAACTCGGGTATGACAACTCAGAGTAGTTCATCAGTGGCTATAGGGGAATATGCGGGGTATACATCACAGGGGGATGCCACCGTGGCGATTGGAAAGGATTCGGGTAAAACTACTCAGGGGGGATCAGCCGTGGCTGTAGGAACATTAGCTGGGCGGGACACACAAGGTGAGCGCTCTGTGTGTGTGGGTGTAAACTCGGGTATGACAACTCAGGGTAGTTCATCAGTGGCTATAGGGGACAATGCGGGGTATGCATCACAGGGGGATGCCACCGTGGCGATTGGAAAGGATTCGGGTAAAACTACCCAGGGGGGTTCAGCCGTGGTCATAGTACCTTGGCCGTTGGTCGGGAATCTGGCACAACATACCAGGGTTCGTACGCTGTGGCGGTAGGATCAAGGGCCGGAAACGACACACAGGAAGCGAACGCGGTCGCAATTGGAAGTAGCGCTGGTAAAACGACCCAGGGTGTAAGTTCCGTGGCTATAGTTATGAAGCGGGAATGACGATACAGGGCGAATATTGCGTAGCCGTAGGAATTGATGCGGGTAAGACAAACCAGAGCAACCGTAGCGTAGCCGTAGGAATTGATGCGGGTAAGACAAACCAGGGTATAGATGCGACTGCCCTGGGTCCACACGCGGGGACCACGGACCAGGGACTATACTCTGTGGATATAGGAAGAGAATCTGATCATGACACGCAAGAGGAAATTTCAGTTGCAATCGGGAACGAAGCGGGTAAAATATTACTACGGTAGCGGTGGCCATCGGGTATTGGGCAGGCCAGACGACCCAAGGCGAAAATTCCGTGGCTATAGGACGGCTGACCGGCGCGAGGCTACAAGGCTCGGACGCAGTTGGTGTAGGCTATGGTGCCGGGAACGAGGCGGGTAAAACATCACATGGTACGGTAGCGGTGGCCATCGGGTATTGGGCTGGCCAGACGACCCAAGGCGATAATTCCGTGGCTATAGGACGGCTGACCGGCGCGACGCTACAGGGGTCGGACGCAGTTGGTGTAGGCTATGGTGCCGGAGAACTGAACCAGGGAGTCAATACAGTAGCAATCGGCAATCAAGCGGGAACACAGGGCAACTGACTAACAGTGTAGCCGTTGGGGTTTCCGCGGGTCTGACAGAGCAGGGGAACTACTCGGTCGCCTTAGGGTCGAGCTCGGGGGTTACCACACAGGGTGGTTATTCTGTGGCTATAGGACACGAGTCGGGAAAAACAACACAGAATGCGGGGTGTGTGGCCGTGGGACGCAACGCGGGCGAGACGGCGCAGGGTGTAAGTGGTGTGGCGGTCGGAAGCTCGGTCGGTAGCGTGGACCAGAGTGACAACTGCGTGGCGGTTGCGCTGACCGTAGGGTACGACACACAGGGTGAAATGGCGGTTAGTGTTAGGTACGATGCGTGGCGAACAATGCAGGGTATGTCCGCGGTGGCGGTTGGCAATTTGGCCGGAAGCGATACGCATGGATTCGGTGGCAGTTGGGAATAGCGCTGGCAAAACAACCCAGGGGGGTTCAGCCGTGGCGATTGGTAAGGAGTCGGGTAAAACGACCCAGGGTGTAAATACCGTAGCTATTGAAACTAGTGCTGGATGGGAAACACAGGGCGCTGTGGCCGTTGCGATTGGTTACAAATCGGGGTACGAAGCACAGGGTATAAGTGCAGCAGGTAGTGAGTCTCAAGCATCTCAAGCTGTTGCAGTGGGGTTCAATTCAGGTATGGCTACACAGGGTCTATACAGTGTAGCTTTAGGTCGGCGATCGGGTGCAACTAACCAAGGTAGTGTTTCGGTTGCAGTTGGTGGCAATTCGGGGTCGTTGGATCAATGAGGTCGATGTGTAGCCGTTCGGTACATATGCCGGTAGTGTCACACAGGGATTTCAATCAGTATCCGTTGGCGCAAACGCTGGAGAAACTGAACTAGGTGCGAGCTCGGTGGCCATTGGTGCCTTCGCGTGTCAAGGGACATCAGCAGACAATGCTATTACACTGAACACCACGGGTATTAAGTTACCTAATGCGGTGGCCAACTCGTTCATAGTCAAGCCGATCCGCAACGCCGCGAGTCCCAACGCGCTGACGTACAACCCCACGACCGGCGAGATTAAAACGTCCACAACCGAAACCAAGGAGAACATTGTCCTGTGAACGCGCAACGCCGGCAGCATTCTGGGCCAGCTCGAGGTCAAGGAATTCAGCTACATCAACTAGGGCAAGTACATCCGGCACGGCACACCTGACACCGCCGAGCCGTTTGCCAGCTGGTTGAGTACCGCGAAACTGGGTGATGATTGGGCGGCCACTTTGGAGACATCCGGTGGCGCCGCGGCCGAGTTTGAAAACGTCCCCGATGAGGACAACAGGGTGATCCAGCAAATGTACACCGACTACGTGGCTATTGTGGAAGTGGTACCCGAAACATTTGTCGACAAGGATGAGACCCACTTTGGGTTCATGGCCGAAAAAGTGCAGACCGTTGACGGCAAGGCGCTGGATATCAAGTGGAACAACATCACGGCGCTGCTGGTCAAGCAGAACCAAATCCTGACGGCACATATAGCCGAGTTGACCAGCGACACGGAAGCGCGGTTTGCGGCATTGGAAGCCAAATACTTTTTTTGAATAAAGCGAATATACCATAAATGTCGAAATTAGCGACACACAACAAAATTTGTGACTGGTGTTGCGAGCTGTATAAATATAGAGGTCGAAAGATAAATATTATCAGTCTAAAAAAATGGATCACGTTAAACTACTCGAAAAAGGCGAATCAACAGAGACTCACGTCAAACCGCCCGAAGAAGTACTCAAGGACGGAGACTCTGGTAAAAAAATGGATCACGTCAAACTGCTCGAACAATTACTCAAGGACGGAGCCGGCCGCTGGAGTGATCTCGTCGGAGTCGACAACGACGCGTTTGAAAACATTTCGCCCAAATTGACCAGCGTTGTTGAAGACTACATTCTGACTCCGGATCGCGCTCCCCGGATAAATGAGGCTCTTGTCCTAGCAGATCTTGTCGCCATACCGGGAAATGGGTTCGGTATCGCAGTCTGTAGCTGCGTGACCGATTGGTTGCTACGGATATTCTACGACTTTAGCACGGACTATGGCGTTGGTGACCAAGTTATGACGCGCATGATCTGGTTAGAAATGAGAGTTTACGGTGATCCTGTGCTAACCGAACCGTCCACTCTGTCGGACCAGTGTCGGATGGTAGAATTTGAGGTGACCATTGCGGCCTATTGGCACCACGTGCAGGCGGCAAGCCCCCGAACGCCGACATTGATCCCGCCGACATTCTGGCGGTGTACAGATTACCTTGCGTCCCCTTTTCACCCGAACTCGATTGCTCGATCTGCTATGATCACGCACTGGACGACCACTCTGGCGTGACGCTGGAATGTTTACACACGTTTCATCGCGTGTGTGCGCTAAAGTGGTTTGCCATGGCAAATTCGTGCCCGCTGTGCAAGACGGTTATTGAGCCTGCCGAACGTGCCGATGAGGCTTCCTCGGAGGTCTGTGATTTGTTGGATCTCGTGCCCGTCGGCACAGTGGCGCAGATCCGGGTATTATCCGATTTGGAAGCGGATAGGCCACGGATTTTGTTCGTGGACTGCGAGGGTATGGTCAACGAGATGGAACATGCGAGCAGAACAACAACAACAACTTCTATCCAACATGTAGGTCGCTTCCCTACGTGCCTGCAGAATAATTCAACAAAGTACGCCGCTGTTCGAGTCTTTGCAAACCCCGATTGCGAGAGTTTGATGCGTATGCTCCTCGGGGGATTTTTTCACACGGAGGAGCCGACTAGTCAGTCTGGGTTCCTGTATGCACCGAAACTTGACAAATTCGTTAAAGTGTCTACAGAGACGTTTGTGTGTTGTCAGAGGTCTCCGATCGAGCCGTTTACAACGTACAATATTTTTTTTTTGAAGCGCGGCGCATGCACCAAAAGTAAACCTTGTGTTTCCCGTCGCAGAAACGAGCGTCTAGAGTGATGATCAGTCAAATAAAAAAATTAAATAAAGCGAATATGTATAAATATAGAGGTAGAACAATGCCGCACTTGAAAACCTGTCACAAATCATGTTCCCCGGATTCACGAGGCCCTAGTCCTAGCCAATCTTGTCATCAAACCCCAAAATGGTTTCGGCATTACGGTCTGCAACCGCACGAGTGTCTGGTTGCTGCAGATGTTCTGCATGTTGAACACGGACTACGCAGTCGGCGACAGGGTGATTCCGCTCATGCTACATCTGGAACTAAAAGTTTACGGTGATTCTGCCCTATCCGATCCGTCCAAGATGACACCCGGAGACCAGTGTCTGTTGGCCGAATTTGAGGCAACGATAAAAACATATTGGTTTCATCTGCAGTCGTCGTCAACGCCCCCGAACCGCGATCTTGATCCCGCCGACATTCTGGCAGTGTACCGATTACCCCGTGTCCCCTTTTCACCCGACCTCGATTGCACGATCTGCCATGATCACGCCCTGGACGAACACTCTGGTGTGACGCTGGAATGTTCACACACGTTTCACCGCGTGTGCGCCCTAAAGTGGCTTGCCAAGGAAAAGTCTTGCCCGCGGTGCAAGACGATCGTTGAGCGTACCGATTCCCCCGAGACTACCACTACGGCCTGCAACTTGTTGGATCTCGTACCTAGAGGCACACTAGCGCAGATCCGAGTATTTTCCGAAGCCGACATCGAATCGAAGGAAGTCGTGAAGCCACGGATTTTATTCGTGGATCGCGAAGGTGATGTTATGGAAATGGTCCACGCGAGCAGGACGACCGTTGGCTTCCTCCGACCGCTGGGCCGGTTCCCCACGTGCCTGCAGAATAATTCAACAAAGTACGCCGCTGTTCGAGTCTTTGCGAACCCCGAGTACGAGAATCTGATGCGGATGCTCCTCGGTGAATTTACTCACACGGAGGAGCCGACGATCCAGTTTGGATTTACGTTTTCCACTGAAACTGATAGATTCATGAAAATATCCTCAGAGACGTTTGTGAAGTGCCAGTGTGTGCCGATCGAGCCGTTTACAACGTACATTTAGTGCGGCTGACTTCGTGGCCCACAATGCTAACTTAAGGTTTTTCATGTATATATATATATATATGTATATATATATATATTATTTTGTATATATATGTATATATATAATATATATATATAAATGTATATATATAAATGTATATATATGTATGTATGTGTATGTATGTATGTATGTATGCGTGTATGGATATATATATTTAAATATTTATAAATATATATATACATACACGCATACATACATACATATATATACATT